GAGAAGAATTGAATGAATACTTTAAAAGATGAAGAATTAGAGAAAGTAGAAGAATATGAAGATGAAGTAAAAGCCGAAAAACACCAGAAGATAGGAAGTCGGTGACAACAAAAGAAGATGATGGCAATGAAAAAGGAAAAGAAAAAAAAAGAAGAAAGAGAATAATAAAACATTGAAGAAGAAGAAGAAAGAGAATAAAATCTGGAATAGAAGAAAATCAAAAGATGTATGAGAGGAAGAAGAACAAGATGTGGAGAAGAAGAAGAAGACGTGAAAAAGAAAAACCGGAAAAATAAGAAGTAATAAAATACATAGAAAATAAAGAAGAAAAAAATAGGAAAAAAACAAAAAAGAAAACAGAAAAAAAGAAAGAAAGAAGAAAATGATAGAGAAAAAAAATTAAAAGATAAAAAGAGAAAAAAATGAATAATTCATATTAATTTTGATTTTAGTTTGTGTTTATTAATTTTATACACTTATTAATATTAATTTTAAGGTATTTAATATTAAAAAATGATTATCATAGATTAACTTTATTTTAATTTTGTATGTATCAAATTGTTGATTTAATTCTTTTTGATTTCTGACTTCAATGAAACTCTTTGGCCCGTGCAAGGCGCGGGTTAAACACCTAGTAAACTATTATAAACTATTAAAATTTAAGATTATTTTATTTTATGAAATACATAATTTAATTTAGAAAACTTAACATCGTTTTTTCTTACCATATTAATTAACAAAATATAATAGTTCTCTTTTCAAATTGCGGATTAATCTTTAGTTTATTAATATATTAAAGTCTGGATTTTTTTTTCCATTTAAAACTTACGGGCTCAAAAAGGGCTGAGTTAATAAAATTGAGGGTTATAACTGGCCCTGATTTGTGCAAAGCTTTTTTGGTTTCTAAACCTAAATTGAAGACTAACACGCAGACAATTTTTCTTCTTCTTCCTCGATTCCTCTTCTCGAAATCTGAGAAACAGAGATTGCATCAATGGTGGCTCTCTGCTCCAGCGATTCTCTCTGAGAAGAAACCCCTTTTTCCCTTCCACACCCATCCTCGATTTTCTCAGAGGGGTTTCGTTTAATCGCCAACAGAACAGAAGTAAGTAAGCTATATTGCTTCGATTTCGTTTTGCTTGTTTCTGGGTAATCTCTCTCGTATTCGATTTGAGTGTCTTAAATTTTTATTCTTGGATTCGAATTTTAAGGCGTGGATGAGTCGATTTGTGTGTGCGTTACTTTTTTCTTCTGTGGAAGCTGATTACTGGGTTTAATTTTGTGTTTTGGAGTTCACTGGCTTTGAAGACTATATTTTTATTATATGCTCATTAATTGTTTTTCCAAAGAACGTTGGAAAGATTTCACTAAGATCCTTCTCAGGAGTGTCGTAAGAGCCCAGCCACATACGTTTTCTGCTGTTGGGGAGCCTGATCTCTGAAACCCATTTCTCCCATTTCCTCTTCTTCACGCTTTTGTACTTTGACTGCATGGACAACAAAGACGACGCTCTTCTCGCTCTTCGATAGCTTTGGTCTGATTTTGAATTGGATAGTAGAGTTTGTATATATGTATGCGACGAAAAGAGTAAAGAGTGCGGTTTTGAATTTTTAAACACAGCTAGATTTGGATCCTAGAATCATAGAAGAAGAATGCAGTCAAGCGTTTCACAAGAATGGGTGGCCTGATGCACGACAATTCCTGGTACCACTTATATCTTTTGAATTTCTACTTTGTGTCATCCTCTTGTATATATATATTCTAATTTTGGGAATGTGTTGTTACTCGTGCAGGAGGACGCTAAGTCGGTTGGCCAGCTGCGGAGTGAGAGAATGGCCTATTTCCAGTTCTTCACCTTTCGATTTGCATAGTATCAACATGAGTAGATGATTCTCGGTGAAAACAGAAAAACAAACTGGTTTGATTACATGTGAACCTTTGACAGATTCAGAAGTTTGGGCCAAACAACTCTAACGACAAAGAGGTTATTGCTTCAAATCTCCACCTTTGACAGATTCAGTAGCAGCTATTGTCGTCATGATAGTGAATTCTTCATTTATTCTTTTCGATTTGAAAAATATTGTTTCAGTCTCTTAATTTTGATTGATTTATACAACCGTTTGAAGCCAGGAATGTACTCGCCACAAGATCTATCTCAATGGCTAACGAGATTACAGAGGAAGATGACCAGATTCGTGAGCTAAAGGTCTCTTTTTTCGTTACATATCGGTGATATGTTGGCGGGTAAGTCACATTTAAATCCTATTCTAGATTTTGGTTTTGATGCCTACATTATAGTGATTTTTTGGCTGTTGATGTGAGAAACTTTTTCAATTCAAGTTCGTAGCTTTATTGATTTGATCCTTTATAGCTAAATACATGACCTTGAAAAAAAAGTGGAAACAGAAGACGATATATGCCAGAACAATTGGGGAAATTCTTCATCTTATTCTTTAAAATTGTGTGAGAAGGTTTCTTTAGACGGAATCCAGACCTTGCAAGTTTCACATCACAGCAGAAGTGGGAAGATGCTTCCATCTTGGATTACGAGATGGATATTGAGCCAGGTTTGCAAGTTTTAGACCAGATGAAAGCTTTTGCGAGCAAAGACAACAACAAGTTTTGAGATTTCCTACAAGGCAATAAAGGTCAAGCTTGAGATCCGAGGACGAGCAACCTATCCTTTATTCACAAGTTAATATACAAAACCTGTATAAACTTATTTTTTAATTATGTACGTTTACTTTGTAATACTGATCTTTTGTATCATGGTTTCATTTTTGAAAATATAGTTTTTTCTAATATGTCAATTTATCATTAGTTAATTAGTAGTTAATTAGGATGAAAAATAGTTGCAAATTAAGATGGATATCCAATGTTCCTTTCATCGAAATAAGTGACGTAATTGATAGTATGTAAGTATAACGAATAGGCAACGATTCTGTATTTATTATTTGTGACGATTTAGAACAAAAATTTTGTCAAAATGAGTGAAAATGTCGTCAAAATGAGTGACAGATTCAGGACATTATGATAGTCATAAAATATGACGGTTTCGAGACGTTTTCTTTAGTCTCTAATTGATACAATTTTGTTACTTTAATTTCTCGTCATCATTGACGAAATAGTTATTAGATATATCCGTCACAACAGATGTGACATTTTTGTTACGAAAATTTTTTTGTGCCGACTGTATTGTGACTGTCCAAAAAACGTCACAATTCTGTCACAATAATTTTATTGCTACGAAATTGTGTTCATTGTGACGAATTTTTTTTTGTCATAATGTACTTATTTTCTTGTAGTGGAATCCCTGATTTACTTCAAGGTTTTGCTCCTTCCAACGACAAAAAGATAGAGACTACCTTGCAGAGAACTCTAGAGATGAAATATAATAACTTTATCTTCCATTTCAGGAATTCCGATGAAATATATTTATTCTGGTAAAAGAATCTGAGAGATAAAATGAAAATAAATTAGTTGCAGTTTTTTTCCTGCTATGATATGAATAATCTTCCAATAAGAGCAATAATCAGAATTGTAACATTCTTATTCTAGGCTTCCTAAGAAAACTTGAGAAATCGGGCATGTTAAGTTGACCATCTAACCATATTCGGTCAGACGCCTGGTTTGGTCCAGATGGTGAGCCTCAAGTCTGCCAGGATCGAAAACGCCCAGGTAATAATCAACAACATAGACTTAGGCTGATCTTTCACCTACAGCTGATAAGACAAGGGAATAGGAGGGGTGAGTAATGGGGATTACTCAGTGAGAACCAGACCAGACTCTCTTCCCACTCATTCATTTCCAACTAACATGTCAAGAATAAATTCAACAAACAACACACAAGCATCCTAGCAATGCACAAACAACTAGCAAGCAATTGTGATGTCTCCAACCTTGCCAGGTCACACAGACAGGCACTGCCAGGTCACACAGACAGGCTCTACATCGCCAGGTCACAAAGACAAGCACCAAGTCACACAGACAAGCTCAACATTGCCAGGTCACACAGACAGGCTTCCCGTCTTATAGACTCTGGAAGGATCGGCGTACCTTCCCCCACCGTTGAACTACCGCTTTAGTCACACAGACAGCAATAGCCCAGCAAACAAGTCCATACCTCGGCACATCACCACCGAGATGAACACCTGATCTAGCTACACTACCAATCACTAACCACACATCAGGGTGAACAATCAAATATGATGGTTCTTCCTCTAATGAGATCCTATATCATTTCATTAGATTTACACATGGATCTAGCTAGATGCACAAGAAAACAGCCTATGCTCATCAGATCTAGACCTCACACACCAGAAGAAGACAAATGAATAAAAAGAAGACCCTAGATCTAATCCTCACCTGGCCTAAAAGCAGATCTGGATATCTCACACCAAAACGACGATATATCCTGGCATAAAACTCCCATTATGATGAACTCGGTCTTCTTGGAAAGCTGACATTCGGGGCTACAGATTGATATGTATGAAGTCTCGTGGATCCTCACGGATCGCCGGGAAATCGTCTTAGAAAGTGAACGGCGGTTTAGGAGAAAAAGTGACGAAAAAGAGAGAAGATGGAGAGACTATGGTTTTAGAAGCTTGATGAGGGATCAGAGGTATTTATATTAGGTTAGATTAGTTTGGACTGGGCTTAATGGATTGGATTAATGGGCTCGCAAGTGGTTAAAAAAAGGTTTAAAATTGGGCTTAATTAAAAATGTTGGTTTAATTTAAGTAAACCGAAAATTGATTTATCGTAACAACCAACCCGGCGGGTCGGGGTGTTACAATCTTCCCCCTTCAATGGGATTCGTCCCCGAATCCTAGGAAAGAAGTTTCTGAAAGGAAATTCGAAAGCTAAAGAGCAAGAGAAATAAAAGCACAAGGGAGGAGAGGAGCTTGGTCGTAGAAAGAGAAAGAAGTCAGGAATGAGATCAGGAAATAGAAGCAAGAAATGAAATGAATCCAGAAGGAAAGATCGGAGTTGGAATCGAAAGGAGAAACAGGAATAAAAGTTCAGAAGGGGATTAGGAATGGAACCACAAGGAACAATGGCATTAGGGAAGATAGAGGTTAAGAAGAAAAAGACAAACAGAAAAATCAGAAATGAAACAAGAAAGAAACAGAAATGAGGTTAGAAGGAAGAGCAAAAAAATGAAATCAGAAGTGGGACTAGAAATAAAATCAGAAGGGAAATTAGAAATGAACCATGGCACAAGGAGAAATAATGACTAAGAGGAAAGAACAAGAAGGAAATCATATAACCCATGGCGCCAAGAAGGAGTTGAAGGCTAAGGGTTTAGAACGCAGAGTGATCAACAAAATCGTAAAGGAGAGAGAGTTTAAGATATGATACAATAAAACATTTTGAGTAAAATCCAAAAACCATTTGATTAATGTGACAAGGAGGAGTAGAACATTTTTTTTTGTTTTTTTTAAAAGGAAAAATGAAAGAACATCAGCATGAAATCTAACTAATTCCTATGATATCCTAAAAACACTCAATAATTGAAACAAATGAAAATAGAGTTCCACTCCTATGAAAACCTTTTTTTTTTCTAAATATAAAAAGAGAACAATCAGAGGAAGGACCTTCTTCTGCTTCACTACCAGACGAAATGACGACCAGCTCTTTGCTAAACTTCACTTGAGAAAAATGAGTGAACTTCTTGCGCGCAGACTCTTGGGTCTTGAACAGAGGTCTAAGGTAAAAGGAAGAAAGGAAAGGAAAAAGAAAGCTATTGGTTGATATGGCTGAGCAGGATTGGATATACACTAAGGCCACCTTGAAATCCTCTGAATCCGGATAAGAGTGTGAATTTCCCAAAGGTATTCAAGCACATCCGTTCTCTTTGGATAACACAGCTAGGTTCCTCGTCATTCCGAGATCGAACTCGCCTGACTTTTTACAGTCTGACAATTTCTGTGGACTCTTGCGACACCTGCCTTTTAATACATTAACTATGTAGACCAGGTCTGAACCTAATCATACATGTTGAAGGCTGATATAGAACCAAAGATTGCATAGTCAAGACTGGCATCGCACGGTGTGGTAGTTCCAGAACAACCACCCTGGTACAGTCTGAACCACACCAATAACCAGTCTTGCCTAGAGACAATTTTGTTGCAACTCCCAAGGCAGACTTAAACTACCACATGGTTAAAGACATTGCCCTCTTCCATGCGGTTTCTCGCGTACTGCACCTGGGCCCCTAACAACAAACAAGAAAGAGGATAGAGGAAACTATAAGACCAGCCATCTATAAGTTGTTGGTTGTTCTAGGTTTAAAAACATTTTAATTTTTTTTAGTAAAAATGTTTTCACAAAAATATATATATATATATATATATATATATTTTTGGTAAAACACGGGTGCGACCTCCTAAGACAGAGCTAGGAGATCTCCCTGGGCTCCGATACCATTTGTAACATCCCTATTCCAGGCTTCGTAAGAAAACCTGAGAAATCGGGCATGTTAAGTTGGCCATCAAACCGCATTCGGTCAGACGCCTGGTTTGGTCCAGATGGTGAGCCTCAAGTCTGCCAGGATCGAAAACACCCAGGTAACAACAAACAACATAGACTTAGGCTGATATTTCACCTACACCTGATAAGACAAGGGAATAGGAGGGGTGAGTAATGGGGATTACTCAGTGAGAACCAGACCAGACTCTCTTCCCACTCATTCATTTCCAACTAACATGTCAAGAATAAATCCAACAAACAACACACAAGCATCCTAGCGATGCACAAACAACTAGCAAGCAATTGTGATGTCTCCAACCTGGCCAGGTCACACACACAGGCACTGTCAGGTCACACAGACAGACTCTACATCGCCAGGTCACAAAGACAGGCACCAGGTCACACAGACAGGCTCTACATTGCCAGGTCACACAGACAGGGTTCCAGTCATATAGACTTCGGAAGGATCGGCATACCTTCCCCCACCGTTGAACTACCGCTTTAGTCACACAGACAGCAATAGCCCGGCAAACAAGTCCATACCTCGGCACATCACCACCGAGATGAACACTTGATCTAGCTACACTACCAATCACTAACCACACAATAGGGTGAACAATCAAATATGCTGGTTCTTCCTCTAATGAGATCCTATATCATTTCATTAGATTTACACATGGATCTAGCTAGATGCACAAGGAAACAGCCTATGCTCATCAGATCTAGACCTCACACACCAGAAGAAGACAAATGAATAAAAAGAAGACCCTAGATCTAATCCTCACCTTGGCCTAAAAGCAGATCTGGATATCTCACACCAAAACGACGATATCTCCTGACATAAAACTCCCATTATGATGAACTCGGTCTTCTTGGAAAGCTGACCCTCGGGGCTTTAGATTGATATGTATGACGTCTCGTGGATCCTCATGGATCGCCGGGAAATCGTCTTAGAAAGTGAACGGCGGTTTAGGAGAAAAAGTGACAAAAAAGAGAGAAGATGGAGTGACTATGGTTTTAGAAGCTTGATGAGGGATCAGAGGTATTTATATTAGGTTAGATTAGTTTAGACTGGGCTTAATGGATTGGATTAATGGGCTCGCAAGTGGTTAAAAAAAGGTTTAAAATTGGGCTTAATTAAAAATATTGGTTTAATTTAAGTAAACCGAAAATTGATTTATCGTAACAACCAACCCGGCGGGTCGGGGTGTTACAATCTTCCCCCCTTCAATGGGATTCGTCCCCCAATCCTAGGAAAGAAGTTTCTGAAAGGAAATTCGAAAGCTAAAGAGCAAGAGAAATAAAAGCACA